ATACATTTTAAGAGAATCAGATTCTCTTACTATTGAAATATTCCTCCAAATTTATAATAGATAACTTCATTATTGAAGATTTATGTACTATGAAAGAATACGTAACCCATTTTCAGAAATTTATGCAATCATAAATTTAGTATACAAACCTTTTTTCAATGAATGCCATGCATCAAGAACTGTAACAAGAAGTAGGGAAATTGTCAATATATGGCAATACTGACAATCTTCAGAATAGAAGCTAAAACTTCCATATCCCAATGAGAGCATACTACCATAAAGGGCCAAAATAAAATCGTTTTAATTAAGAGAGGAGCCATGTATAAGAGTAATGGTTTTTTTTTTTTTTAAGGCTTTAAATGCACTTATAAATTTAAAACAACTTAGGTTTCACAACTTGAAGAAAGAGTAAGACCAAAAAAAAAAAAAAAAAAAGCCAAGATGATACTCTATTTAAGGAAACCATAATAGTAATAGCCAATATTTATTGAGTGCTTATTGTAGTAATAATGTGTAAATTTCCAAGAAAGACAATGAATATTTGCTCTTTTGCCTATAATCCTTTCTAAAAGCAGTCAAAATGAAGAAAAAAACAAAAATATGGGAAAATCGTCCATGAAAACAAGGGAACAGTCACAACCCCCATCATAAACTCAAGAGAATAAATGGAAATTGAATGAATGAAGAATATCTGCCAGATTCAATTTAATTTTAAGCCCAAGTACACTGTATCTTCCTTAATCACAAAATCAGTGTAGCACATAGGCAAGTTTAATACTGAACAAATTTGATGGCCCTAGTAAGAACCCCAGCCAAGAAGATTTATAAAGACTTGGGGATAACAGGGATGCAGGACTGAAGAGAGAATTTGCAGCCAAGAAATTTCCCTTTTTGTTGATAAGAACTTCTGATTGGGTTGACAACTGATGGCAAACTGGGCTGGAGGAGAATGAGGAAAAGTAGCCTGAGAGCTGTTGAACAGTCAACTGATGAAACAAAAGCCACTTTATGAGCAGTAGAACTTCATACTAATCCCACTTCATGAAATCAATATCCACAGTGACAGGTGGCCAGACAGGACTTGGGAGGATTGTGACAAGAGCACAGCTGCCTATTTCTCCAGTTTATTTTTCATCCCTCATCAGATAGTTGAATGACTGAACAAGAAAACAAGCCATCAATATCCAGCCTTCTACCTTAAGCTTTAAACAGAGTACAAGAATGTTTAGACAATTAGAGATTTTGGTAAGGTGTAACATTACTTCAACAAAATATATTACTTTGGTAAGGTATAACATTACTCAAACAAAATATATTACAATAATCACTTGGAAAATGAAAGAAAATATATCATTAACAAATATAGCCGGGCGCGGTGGCTCAAGCCTGTAATCCCAGCACTGTGGGAGGCCGAGGCGGGTGGATCACGAGGTCAAGAGATCGAGACCATCCTGGTCAACATGGTGAAACCCCGTCTCTACTAAAAATACAAAAAATTAGCTGGGCATGGTGGCGCGTGCCTGTAATCCCAGCTACTCAGGAGGCTGGGGCAGGAGAATTGCCTGAACCCGGGAGGCGGAGGTTGCGGTGAGCCGAGATCGCGCCATTGCACTCCAGCCTGGGTAACAAGAGCGAAACTCCGTCTCCAAAAAAAAAAAAAAAAAACAAAAAACCAAATATAATAGAAAAATACAAGATTTCTACAAATAAAATTAACAAATAAAAATACAGTTTATATTAAGACAATCATAAAAATTTACTGGTGAACACTTCTAAAATCCTCACATAAATAAGGAGACATTCCTTTATAAGAAGACTAAAATTATGAAAATATAACTTTTTCCTACACTACAAGTTTAATTTAAACCTATTTAAAAACATAATTGGGGTCTGGGTGTGGTGGCTCATGCCTATACTCCTAGCACTTTGGGAGGCCGAGATGGCCCTATCATTGGAGGTCAGGAGTTTGAGACCAACCTGGCCAACATGGTGAAACACTGTCTCTACTAAAGATATAAAAATTATCCAGGCGTGGTGGTGCATGCCTGTAATTCCAGCTATTCAGGAGCCTGGGGCACCAGAATCCCTTGAGCCCGGGAAGCGGAGGTTGCAATGAGCTATCTTGCCACTGTACTCCAGCATGAGCAACAGAGCAAGACTCTTGTCTCCAAAAATTAATTGTTAATTAAGTAAGTAAGTAAAATAAAGACACAATTTGATATTTTTGAAATGTCAAAATGACTCAAAATTTAGCTGGATAGAGAATTTTCAAAACAAGCCACAATCTTTTTTGGGAAAGAAAAAGTGTCTTACAGCTATTTAAGCCATGTGATACTACATAGGATTACAAAGAAAGAGAAGAATCAGACAGCACAGACTGACAAGAAATATACTTGAAAACATGACTAAACTCACAATCTATAGTATGTTAGTTTATTTAGATGAATTTTTTGAATCTAGATATATATGTCATTCTAGTAACACATATACACATATACAGATTCAGTGACTATCAATAGTTCTGACCCAAAATATCTCAGAGAATTCCACAATCCAGCAGGCTGCAGCCACATCCTCTTCACTGGAGTCTGAATCTTATCATGAATGTGTGGGGAGAGGATCTTCCACACATTTCCTTCTGTGGGTTCTCTTCCTTAGGCCTACAGGTGGTAACTTCTCCCAGTATTTACTATTTCTGTATTCTCTTATAATATACAAATTATAATGCTGTATGTTTTTATAAATTATGTGTAAAAGTCTTAGCCTTTTCTTTTCTTTCTTTAGAAAAATATTTGTTTATTTATTTATTTTAAGACAAGGCCTTGCAATTATTGCCCAGGCTGGACTCAAATGATCCTCCCACCTCAGCCTCCTGAGTACCTAGGACTACAGGCATGCACCACTGTGTCCAGCATTAGCCTTTAGTTATCACTGGTAAGATGACTGTTGCAGCTCCAGTCCTTTTGTGCATATTTCGGAAAAAAGAAAAAAAAATGGAAGAAAAACTAGCAGATCTCATGGCTCAAAATGACGTCATATTGACACTCTTAGATGAAAGATGTTTAGAAAACCAATAATAACATGAGCTAAATTGTAGTGGTGGAATGAACACTGAGTGATCAAATCTATGAAATTTTCCATAGTCCACCTCATTGTAGAGTCAATATTTGTGTCAGTTACCAATTTTTTAACCACTCAGTTTCAAATAATTTATTCTTTGCTATACTTGCTGAAACTGGACTTGGACCTATAACATTTTAACTTTACTAGCTGTACAACATTAGTCTGAAAATAAAGGCTTCTGGAGGGATATGTCAACACATGACACAGGAAGGTGTTACCCCTTCCCTCCCTGAGTTCCAATTGTCTGCTTTCTTTTTTCAATGGCTTGGCTATCAGCTCTATACAGGAGAATCAGTAGTGCCTAACAGCTAGTGAGTTTTGCTGATACTCCAACAGGTAGGTCCTTGCTTATCAATTTCAGCCTGTCAGTACCATCATGGGCAGTTTTCTGCTCATTAGGGTCAGACCACTAGCTGCAGAACAGCTCTTGCCCATGACATCTTGGAGAATCCCACAATCCAGCAGACTGCAGCCCGTCCTCTCCAAAGAAGTCTGAATTGCATCACTGATGGGTGGGCAGAGGCTCTTCCAAATTTTTCCGTTCCTTGGGTACTCTCCCATAGGTTTAAAGGTGGTAACTTTCTCTTAATATTAACTATATCTGTATTCTCTAGAGTTCCCTTTTATTCATTTTAAAATTTATTCATCTTATATTAGTTAATAAAGCTTCATATTAAATTTCCTCAGTTCAAATTACTGGTGTGGCTTTTGTCTCCTGACTAGTCCCTGACTAATACAATATCCGAACAACCCTCTTTCCTTACTTAAACTTTGTATGAAGTGCTTCACTCCTTTCCCAAAGAAGATGGGACCATTGTTGCATCTGTTACTGAATTTAATTTAAAGCCACGTGCAGTTCTGTCCATCAGGTTTGGGTGTAACTCTTAATTAACTGTCAACTACATTAAAATACAAATTATTTGCCTATAACACACCAGCACTGAATGGTAGAGAAGAAATGGAAGAGTAACCACAACAAAAAGTCCACATTAGGAAAAATAGAAAATGAGAAAGAAATAGTTACTAATCCAGAACAAACATGAAATTCTGCTACATAGATATAGTGAAGAGTTCCTGTTAAGAGGTATTTTCTTGGGAGAGAAACAGAATATACCATGTCTGTTATCTTCCATGATCACATATGAGGTGGCCATTGTAGAGGGCAGAGGACAATATTTCTGGATAACGCATTGCTCTAGCTGCCCACTGGGAGCCTACTGATCCACATTCAGTTTCTGGCTTCTTTGCGGTCAGTTTCATAAGTAAGCAACCACAACCAAGGATTTGGTCCAGACAGTTTTCTAGAATTTATGGTCTTAGATGCTGGCTTCGAAGCTCTGCTGCTGTTTTTCTGTTTGGTTGGTTGGTTGGTTTTGTTTGTTTACCAGCCAGTACTTGCATTCACCTAAAACAACAAATTTGGGTGGCAGGGCAATTCACAATTTTTCTAGCTTGGATTTTCTTCTTTAAACATAATAAGATTGACTGATTGTTTTCTCCTCCTCCTCCTCCGCCTCCTCTTCCTTCTTCTTCTTCCTTCTCACTCATGGTATCTTGTTTTCCTAACTCCCTGGCACCTTTGCTGTGCTGGCCACTGCATTTGAAAAATACTTTGTAGGAACACTCTTAGTACTAGAATTACAGCATCTTCCCTGAAAGATGCCTTTCAAATGTTTCTGTCAGGTTCCTGGGTCACTATCAGTCTGGGACCTTCTAAGTTCAAGTTCAAGACTTTAAGTTATCTAAACCACCTGAATAACTAGCAGTTTGCTTGCCAATCCCATATTAAGTTACTTTACTTCCATTATTACTTACTCTAGGGTTTTGGGTTTTAGGGATCCTGGCCGAAAGAAAGGGAAGTTAATCAGAGCTTTTACCTTTGGTTGCCATGACTTGCAATTTTTTTCCTCCTGCACCTGCAATGCAGCCAAAAGAACAGCTCATTTTCAGTTAGTCAGATATTTTTTTAGATAGGCAGATGACTTCAGGGCAAAAGCAGTTGTGGGCCTAGACTTAATATCTGAGTTCTCATCTTCTCCTGTGCCTTGGCTAGTAAATTATTTACTATATTGACAGCTCTTTGATGCTTAGATGTCAGCAGGAAGAGAGCTGTTTTGAATTGCTCAGCCATTATTAGACAAAACAACATTCCTAATCTGATCTTTGTCTTGGACTCACATACTTGAGAAGTCTTGAGGTTTATCTCTAGCTGAAGCTCTAAATTTCATAGCCACCGCTTATGACCTCATTAGTTTGGGGTATAGAAGCAGTGGGTTTTTCAACACTTTAAGATGCCAAATGATAGGACTCATTAACCAGACACACATTGTCCATGTTGAGCATCTCGGTTGGCAAAGCAGTGATTAACTTCTATCTCTGCTGGCAGATTGGCAACCTCTAGTCCAAGTTCATCTGTTCCTCACAGAAATTTGCTCAAAGGGCCAAGGAGGAGGCAGTACACACCAATATTTTAAAAGTACCTATCATTTCTATTAATACCAAACCTTCAAATGATAATGATCTGCATCACATGGTAGAGAAAATGGGATTTGTAAAAAAAAATTTACATAAGGATTTACATAATTATTATTATTATTTTGAGATGGAGTCTCACTCCAAAGCCCAGGCTGGAGTGCAGTGGTATGATTTCAGAATACTACAACCTTTGCCTCTGGGTTCAAGCGATTCTCCTGTGCCTCAGTTTCCTGAGTAGCTGGGACTACAGGCGTCTGCCAACTTGCCAGCTAATTTTTTTGAATTTATGTTGGCAGGGTGATTTCGAACTCCTGACCTCAGGTGATCTATCTGTTTCAGCCTTCCGAAGTGCTAGGATTACAGATGTGAGCCACTGCACCTGGCTGAATTAGTGTTTTCCAATCTAGCACTAAACTATCTCCAATAGCCAAATTCACATTTTAAGTTCTGTTACTTTTAATATCCTTCTTTTGTCTCATTGGCCGTGACCAAGTCACATGGCTAAGGCTACAAACCCAGAAATGTATGAAAGTGAGTTTTTAGTTTTCTAGCCTCAATAGTAGAGAAGGCAATTTATAAAGAGGTTAGGATGGGTCTTAACGTGAGCCTAGTTATTTATGGTATATGCTTCAATTGAAATATGACCAATAGAACTTGTAATAATTCAAAGTATAAAGAGGCAGTGTGGTTTTGCTTAAAAAAAGACTGAGTTCGAACCTCTAGACCCACCATTATTTTGGTGTCTGACCTTACCCTTTACTTAAACCCGGAATTTTATTTTTCCTTTTTGAAATGTAAGAAGACACAGCCCAAAAGGGGATTTGTGTGGATAGATAACATGTAACGCACCGTGCACACAATAGGTGCTAAATAAATGACTTTCTGTGACTGCCCTCCATTTACTGAATTAGTCCTTGTTTACAATGTCTAAATGTGTTCATTTAAATGTTTGGCCTGATAATCATGACATTTGTGATTATAACATGCCAGATGGATCTCTCTCTTATTGTTATTTACCAAGAACACATATGTATTCTCTGCCTACATACAGAAATGTTTAATGTCTGTAATTAAAGTATTTCTTTTATTTATGTTTATACCATTTCAGTAACTACTCAGTTATAATTCTGAGTAGTTACTATTCATGTGTCTAAAGAGGAATATTTTATCAGCAAGCATCTATTCAATGCTGATAGCCTATAGTCCAGATTATTATCATTTGCATTTCTATTATTCCACTTAATATTAATTGTGACTTTAAAATGAAGGTGGTGAAAGTGCTGAAGAATTGATATGTGATTGCAAAAGGAGAGCAGACACAAACACCACCCTGTAAATTTTTACCCTAGGTTGCTGCTTTGATTTTTAGGTGCTGCACATCTTAGCAATCTGAAAGGACATACTGATTTCTTTCGTGTTTCTATTTCTTTCTTAATTAAAGCACAATTGGAAACGTGCTGTCTAGATAGCTTAATATATTAAAAGACTTCAACTCCAGAAAACTGAAAATCTTTAGTGCTGTGTTTCCCCGATGCAGAAGTGATCTCAATTTATTTTTTTAGGTTTGTCATTACTCTATTGCACTTGTTGGTTCTGTAAATTCTTCTGCCAGAGCGAGATTTCTTAAAAAGTATGATGGTGAGCATATTGAAGCTGCCAGCTAGTCATTATAAGGATGAGAGATTATGTTCAAATCTTTTGCTTTGAATTCCCTAGAAACTAGACACATATTTATAAACATCACTTTTAAAGTTTTTTGCTTTATCCTTGAAAACAAATGCAAATTAGCAGACTACAAAGACAGCATTTAACACAAATATTGATATAAATATTTTGAAACGGCAAGCTGTTAGCTGTTAGTTCTGGATTCTGATTATCATCACTGGGAACAAACACTGACAGTGTTTAACAGAGGAAATACAACTTCTGAGAAAGAAACTGAGAATTTTAAGATCTAAGAGAACTTCTCATAGTACAACTAGAAGTTGTTCACATAAAAATAACAGCAATAGGCACAGAACAGTTTTTTTTTTTTTTTTTGCATGAAATGCTAAGCGTATGACTGTATGGATTTCAGAATAATCAAGGAAACTAAGCACACAGCCCAGTCAATAGCACTATGACAGCTGCCTAGGGATCTTGAAGCACTGGAGGTTGTTCTCATAAATGTGATATTTCATCAGCGCTACACAGATCATGAAAAGGCTGATAATGCATTTTAATAGACCTTGGCTATTAGCATTTTGGCAAGCATGTCAATGAATCTAAGAACTCTTTAATATAAGATTAAAATTGGAATAATGTTCATATTAATGATAAATCCATTAGTCTTTCTTCTCCAAAACTTTGAAAGGTCAATTTAGTAATTTGTAAAGGTATTGCCACTTCTGAGATAACAGTCCCTATCTTTGGGAACTCAAAACAACCTTCATGTTTCAGGAGTAAAAAAGATATTTCAATAATCATCTGTTAATACTGTAAAGATTTTTTTATATTTCATGAGAGTTAGCCTAGAACACTTTTAACTTTAGATTTTAAACATATAATGTAATGTATGTGTGGATACATCATGATTTACATGTATTATCATATCCATCTTGGTCATGGTAGGTGATAATTTTATATCATATAAATATATGATAATCTCCTTTAAATGTTTCTTGCACTTTTAAGGGATTCTACACACTTTGAGTTTCATGGTAAATAAATACACAGATTTTTGTATTTTTAAAATATATTTATTACTTCATTAGGCAAATTTTCTAAGACTTAAAGGGGTATTGGAAATCTTCTAATTTCTCACCAAATGTCGAAATCCTTTCTACATATGTCCTGACATTTTAGATAAATCCTTTTGTCAGAGTATGTCAGTCTATCATTGAATAGCTCTCATTATTAGAAACACGTTTTTCATGTTAAAGTCAAATCTACTTATTTGTCCTAATTTTTTCCCTCTTCAGAAATATAGTGCATGGTGTTTTGTTTCAAGTTTTTTTTTTGAGACCCAGTTTTGCTCTTGTTGCCCAGGCTGGAGTGCACTAGTTCATTCTCAGCTTACTGCAACCTCCACTTCCTGGGTTCAAAAGGTTCTCCTGCCTCAATCTCCTGAGTAGCTGGGATTACAGGTGTCTACCACCATGCTCCGCTAATTTTTTGTATTTTTAGTAGAGATGGGGTTTCACTAATGTTGTCCAGGCTGGTCTCAAACTCCTGATCCCAGGTGATCTTCCTGCCCCAGCCTCCCAAGGTGCTGGGATTACAGGCGTGAGCCACTGCGCCCAGCCAATGGTTCTTAAAAATGTGAAGGCCGGCAAGACACAGTGGCTTGCACCTGTAATCCCAGCACTTTGGGAGACCAAGGTGGGCAGATCACCTGAGGTCAGGAGTTTGAGATCAGCCTGGACAACACAGTGAAATCCCGTCTCTACTAAAAAAGTACAAAAATTAGCTGGTGGCAGGTGCCTGTAATTCCAGCTACTCAGAAGGCTGAGGCAGGACAATCACTTGAACCCAAGAGGCAAAAGTTGGAGTGAGCTGAGCTCGAACCATTGCACTCTAGCCTGGGTGACAAGAGTGATACTTCGTCTCAAAAAAAAAAAAAAAAAAAAATGTGAAGGCCAATATCATGTCTTTCTTTAGGCATCTATTTTCCAATTTGGAACACATCTTCGTGATTTCCAATCCCCATAAAATTCCTGGTTGTTTTCTGCGATAGAAATTTTTTTGTCAATGTTCATCAGAAATAACAATGTTCATCTAGAATTTAACACTGGATACCACATGTAGTCCAACTGAGAAACTTTTATTCTCTGAGATCTTTCATTTCATTCATTTTGTAAAGGTGAAGTAGTATAATATGTTGGAAAGAGCACTATTCTTGAGATCATGAGGTCTAGAATCCCATCGCAGTTTTGCTACAATTTTAAAACTTAACCCTGGGCTTCAAAAGCCCAATGGCTACACACTTTTGTTTGTTTCTTTACGCAGACACACAGAGAATGCCAGCATCCAAGCTCTGATTTCCTAAGTGAGGGATCAAAGGTGTGCTTTCTGAAAAAAACGAGAGAAAAAGCCTAGGCCTCAGAGTCCAGTAACCTGCGGGTGTGAAGCACAGGCTCATTTCTACCTCTTCACTCAAACACAGCTGGAGAATCTATTCCCTCCAGAGATCATTATAAATCTCTTCTTCGGAGAAATTCAATACTTCTTAAAGAAAGACCTGGTGTTTGGAGGTACCCTAGTGAGTCACCTCTTCATTGTATCACTTTAAAAGCAAACAAAGCCTATCAGTCAACAACATTTGCTTATGTATGTATAAAGTCATCACTTAAATTTCTCAGGCTCATGTATAAACAAACAGCTCGAAGATCACCAGTTGTATGAGGCAAGATTCCAACATAAAAGGGAAATGAAAATAATCCCTTGGGAAAAAAACACTCTG